AAATTATATTCTCTGACATTGTAGTTGGGTTGTCCTGTGACATGCAAATCAACAGATGTAGCAACACTTACTTGAATTTGGCCTTTGTTGTTCCCAAACGTTATTTTATCGAAGTTAACTACACACTTCCTCAGTAGTAAGTAGTCCAATCCTAATATGCATGGGTCTTCAATGTCAGCCAAGTATACTTTGTGTCTGTCCTTTATGCCCATGAGCTCAATAGTTACCCACACTGGTCCCCACAACCTTGCATAATGTCCTGTCACACTACAGAGCTTCTTTATGGCTTCTGGTACTCTTTTGTGATCCAGCCAACTTGATACTCACAAGGGTTTGCTGAGACAAAGAATCTATGACAAAGTTTACTTTTGGCTATCCAGCTTTCCTGTCACGTAGACACTATGTGTGCTTGACATTTTACACTTAGCTGTTGGGACTTTCACAATGGGAGATGATGGGCGTCCCTCAACACCAACCACTACTGGTTTCCCCAAAGCTGACTTATTGGTAGTATTTTTCTTACACTGGCTCCTCATATGTTTTTACTCTCTACAGTTCCAACAACCTTTCTGGGTAGCAGCCTTTTCTGCCGTGGCATCTTCCCTGTGTTGAAGTTGCCGGCACTGAGCTCTCTTGTGCCCAGGTTTGTGATAGTACCAGCAAAGTCCCTCAAACTTCTCTGAAAGCTGCTCTTTTCTGGTCTTTAATCCTGATGACTGTACCAACCGTGGTACCTCTGTGCTGGACTTAATGTAGGATTCGAATTCAAGAGCTCTGGCCAATGCATCTTTTATAGTAGAGGGGTGTGCTTGCTTTACTTGTATCTTCAGTTGTAGACTGTTCAAGACATCTACAAATGATCCCTCAGTAACAATTTGAGGATATTAAGGTGGTGCAGTTGGGTAGGCTTTGTGTGCCATACTTTTCAAATCCTGTGCCAGTTCTTGCAGGCTTTCTCCTTTAGCACGGACTCTTGTCCTAAACCTAGCCCTGTGGACTTCGGACTGATTTTGAGTTCCATACCTGATTTCTAGAGCAGCTACCAGAGCTCTATGGTTGTGCCTGTCGTCTGCTGACACTGG